GAGGGAGCGGGTCGCCTTCCGTGGAGGCCGCCTTGTTGAACGGGCATGTTTCTACAGTGGCCCAGAACAGACAAACCGAACACTCGGTAAGGTGTTTTTTCGCCAGTTATTTTAAGTAGGGATTTAAAGGAGATCACTAAGTCTCCCCACCTGATTTCCTCGGGCAGATTGTTTAACTATAATTATAGACACCTTCAGACACTGGAAACTTCCCAGCTTCTCCTGAAAGAACAATCTTTTATTTCCTTAGGATGCGTTCGGATTATTCTTCCTCACGAAAATGAAACCCTCCCTTCTGCTGATGTTGTGAAGGACTGTGTCTGTCAGTTAATCTGTTAAAGCTGTTGTAATGCTTTGTTAAGTGCAGATTGATTAGAAAAGTCTGCACTGATTTACATTGCAAAAATAACAGAATTCACAGATTTCAGTTAACATGACATCTGTTGTGGCATTTCCGGCCCTCCACCTCTTATCTACAATACAATCCAGCCCCTGAGGTTATTAGTTTTTGTGGCTTTTTTTCATTGACATACCTGTCTGGGTCCAGTTTCTGCATTTTCTTGCTTCACATCCTCCATTGACGGTAACCATTTTGGAGAGGTTTTTACATTTTTTATGAGCGTTCAACAGGTAAACTTAAGGTTAGCATTGGTAGAGTAACTCCTAACAGATTAATAAAAGAAGTAAACTAACCAAACTTAATCCTCCAAATTTTAGTCACTCATTCCCATTAATTAAACTCAACCCATCGTTGAATTGTTGAAGTAATAACTACAAAACTACAAAAAGTAGGTCTGAGTGCAATAAAATGTGTGCATTTAATTCCAATTTGTTTCACTGACCCATTTTCTTTAAGTTGACTTCATATCATTACAAAACGTCATCCCAAAGCCCCAAAATGAATTACCTGCAGTTTGATAATTATTTGCAAATAGTTTTTTTATCACACATCAGCTGTTAATGACGTGGTAATGTGATAATTTGATTTACAGCATGCCAAGAACGATGACAATAATGTAAATCAAAATGTGTTTTTACATGGGACACAGACAGTGATAAACACAACACAGCCAAATTATTATTATTATTTATTTCAGGAGCCTTAATGTACATAAAATAAAACATTCAACACAAAAATGGACGACGTTTTAGAGCTCCCCTAAATGTTTCTAAGTAGGCTTTTAGGGAAGTTCATGTCCTTTTTAACTCCCCATAATTCGAACCATGCTTATTCATGACACTAGTAAATCAAGTAAAACAAACATGAAAACATTCCTGTAAAAGCAAGAGAACTGATACTGAGACATTTAAGATACTTGATGCTGCTTATCTGTCTATCTGTTCTACCCACAAACATCTCTCTCTCTCACACACACACACACACACACACACACACACAGTGTCCAATCAGAGTCTCTCTCTGTGTGTGTGTGTGTGTGTGTAGGCTGGTGTAATGAGGTGGAGACAGTTGTCCATTACTTCCTGAGTTGATGGGCTCCTCGCTGCAGTGTGCCCACAGCTGGAGGAGAGACGGAGGAGGAGGAGGAGGCAGCAACGAGGAGAGAATACCAGACACATGCAGACATATTCACCATCTGCATGTTTGTGTCTTTGACTCTAATAATAAGCTTTATTTATACAGCAGTTTTCAAAAGAAGTTATTAATTGCTTTTATATGGAAAAACACATTAAAAAAGTGGAACTATTTATGACAAATACTTCACCTGGATAGAACATTTAATGGGATAATGCTTCTTGTAATAGATTTTTAAAGGGCTTTCAAGCAGAGTTTTTATTTAGCTGACTTCAGTTCTTCAGGAAGCTCATTACAGGGAGGCCAATGGTAAAAGCCTGAACCCAGCAGTAAAATTAGTCCTGAGCTGAGAGTAAAAGTAAGTAAAAACAACTGTGTTGAATTCAAGCAGCATTCAAACTTACAAAGTTTTTCTTTGGAAAAAAAAAAAACTTTACATGTGAGTGTGTGGGATGCAAAAGTCCAAATATCATTTGTTAATTCGTTAGATGCATTCATGCAAATAATAACAGTTTTATTTACCTTTTAAGAGTTTAAAGGTCGAGTGTGTAACATTCAGGAGGATCTATTGGTAGAAATGGGATATAATATTCACAGATATATTTTCATTAGTGTATAATCAGCTGAATATAAGAATGTTTCTTGGTCTTTACTACTAGCATGTTTTTTATTTGCATGCATGCAGTCCTCCAGTGTTGAACATATACTGCAACTACTGGTAAAACATTACTGCAGAGCTCAATATCTTTTAACTAGATAACAAGAAACCCCACCTTTTCAGACTGCTTTTAATGATTTTAATAATTAGTCCTTTTTTTAGTGTTTAGTGTTGTAGATATAGCTATAATTTCTTAGTGTGTTGTTTTTTTAATTACCTTTTCCTTTTTAACTCAAGTGAAGTGTCTTTGAGTTTCTTGAAAAGTTATTATTGTTATTATAGAAGCATGGCATTTTTTGTACAATAATAATAATAATAGTAATAATATTTTATACAGAACTTTAAAAAGGTAAGCTAGGGCGTGAGCAATAACAGTCAAAAAACAGGTGGAGCAATATAACAGAGATGGGGGCTGATTGGGGGAGAGACTTCCAAAGGGAGGGGGCAGCAATGGAGAAGGCCCTGTTGACCCAAGGTCCAGAGCTTGGACTGGGTCAGAGGGGTGAGGAGGTTGTTGGTGGGGGTCATGGAGGTAGGAGGGGGGAGGTTGCTCTGTAGGTGATGAGGAGAATGAGCAGTGTGGTGTATTTTTGCAATATGGGTGATCCAGTCAGGTCAGGTCTCAGGAAGTCTTTTGGGGGCAAAGTAAGACTAAACCAAACTTTTTCTATATATTTGCTGTCATCCACTCTGTTACATTTGGTCTAGTGGTGTATGAAGGTGCACATCGCCATCTAGAGTTGAAAAGGTGTAACTTCATCTTTAAAGCTTCTTTTCACACTAAAATTCACTTCTAGCTTTTGCTGATTGTGGCTCTGACTCTGGTGGTAGAGCTGGTAGTCTGGTAATTGGAGGGTCGCTGATTCCTCTTGCAAGAGACTGAACCCCAAATTGCTCCCAGTGCCTGTGCCGTCTTTGTGAGTGTGTGTATAGGTGAGCATCATTTTGAGCACTTTGGATACTGTATCAGGTTGGCACCTTGCATGGCAGCCTCTACCAGCAGTGTGTATAAAAAAGCACTGTATAAATAAAGGTCCAGTAACATTATCACATTGTGTGTTTCCATCCCATAAGAGAAGGAGTACATGCACACAGGCTCTTCAGCCTCCTGCCTCACAAAAAGCTTCATCCAGTCAGGAAGCTAAATCCCTTTCCTCCTCTCTCCCTCTCTCACTCAGCCCACCAATCCATCCAGGCTGTCAGGAAGCTGAACTCCCCCCCGCCTCAAATCACCTCGACTTGGACAAACTGTCTACTGCACTAATGATTACTATTATTATTAGTTTTCCATTGCACAATATCACATAGATTCAAAATTGGCTGCTATTTATTTATTTACTGTTTTTTACCTGACTGTTCCTTTTGCAGCTGTTACTGCTGTAAAAATTTTAGTTTTTAATTTTTATTTGTTATTGCTGCCATTTCATCTGCGCTTTTTACACTACCCTAAGTTTGTATATTTTATATTATGTATATTTTTATATTTTATTGTCTGTGTGTAATTGAATGTTTAAATTTCTGTTCTTATCTGTTGTGCCTGTTGCACTTTAATCTGTTTCCACGTGTCACCCTGGGTGAATGAGAAACGTCCTCTCGATTCCTTGTATGTCTGGTGCATGTGAAGAATCGACAATAAAGCTGACTTTGACTTTGACTTTGATGGCTTTATAGGGTTACAAAATAAGCTTTCATAATTATATCTGGATGAAACAAAGTGGAAGAAGGTTCAATGATCTGACAAAACTCATCATACTGACCACCATGTTTGGTGTAATCCAAACACAGCACACATTAGCAGAAACACACCATCACTGCCACGAAACCTGGTGGCGGCAGCTTCATGCTACAATGGTGTTTGTGTGTGAGGGTAGATGGTAACATGAATGCAGAAAAATACTGAGACACACTGGAGCAGAACTTTTGGTGGGATTTGCTGTTCACCTACAGGCCTTTTCCACCAACCAGGAACCGTTTGGGAACCAGCATGTTGAGCAAAAATATACTGATTCAAAATCCGAAAAGTTGGTTTCCAGCCCGAACTAAAAAATATCAGGTTTTCCTTCCTTAGCAAAGTGGGCGTGTCATATTCTACAGGTCGTTGTGCTTTGTGCAACGCCTTTGAACGGTTCAAGAACCAGTGTGTTTGCTATGGTTTCAGCTCGTGTCACTTTTCTTAAGGAAACAATAAAATGTAAAAACTTTTTTCATCACTGTACACACAAAAGAAAAGAAAAAGTAGTGTGTGCAAACCTGATGAAAGACCCATTCACTCAGAGGCCCTCTCTGCTGCCAAAGGTGTCTCTACTAAATATTGGCTCGAGGGTGGAACATTTTTCACTTTGACATTTAAGTCTTTCTGTTGCTTAGTGCTAAAAAAATCAGTCCCTCCACAATTTCACAGGCTTTTTTTTGGATTGTTGCGGCCTAAAATGACAGATTTCACAACAGCTTTTCTAAAACTAATGTGTGTATGTTGCTATGTTTTAAGCATTTATTTCCAATGAAATTGGAGTAAGGAGTAAGTGAGAACTGCAATTTTATTATTTTGTTTGTATAATTTAATAAATATTGAAGGTAACTTGTTCCAGTGAGAATCAAATTGCAGTGTGTGGAGATATATGGTTCAATGTTTGTGCGGAAAACAGTTGCTGATTGGACAAAAAGCTAAAGGTTGTGGAGAATTTGAGGGTTTGGTTGAATTGCCCTTAATTGTTGTGCAACTTCCAGGAAGGGCTGGAAAATCCCAACAACATCCACAGTGAGTCAGTGTAAAACAGTACAGTCGGTATTTACAGAGGGAGAGCAGACTGAATGGAGGTCGTCTTTATTTCTTGTGGTTCATTCTCTCTTGAACAAAATAAAAACAATTAAAATGCTCATCAAACCAAAATAACATATTCAAACGTTTGTAGATGTTTTGAAAATGAACACAGCATCATATAAAAAAAAAAACTAATCCAGAGCGCAAGTAGTTGGACATTTACAATTTATATACGTATATATGACCAAAGAGAGACTGCAGGTTGTAAATATCTACAAAAAGAAGCAAATGTTGAGCAGTTTAAAAGGGAGATTCTTTTCACAAATGATTTCTTTCTGGTGTGTGATCGGTGAGCTGTTGCACTTTGATGGACTCACAACCAAATGTAACAACACAAGTACACACAGTGAGCCGTTGTGGATTTACAGCGACTCCTGACTCCACAAATGCCACACAGTATTGCAAAATGAATATTAACAACCAAACCAGAATACTCTACAGTTCCTAGCAATGAGCCAAAAGTTAGAAAAACAATCAACAGCACACAGTTGGAAAATGTTACAGTACAAAATGATTTATGAGCGTTTCCCTGAATTAGAATAATCCAGAGTGATCATCTCAATACAGGTCAAACCACCAGATATTCTGAGACTACATCAGTGGGTTTAATGACAACTCTCCTATACGCTCTGCACCCTTCTGTGAAGACAATGCAGTATTTGTTCACCTGGATTCTTCTTAAATTAGAGACAGAATATATAACGAGGTTCATCTTCCTATTGGATATCTGTGTCTTGTCCTTTAAAGCAACACAAAATTATTTTTATTCAGGATGACAAAACAAAGCCAGTCCAGATGTTGCTGGGGGGGGGGACCATACTTTCACTGCCAGGGTATATGATCTATATGATCTCACTTGAACAAAGCATATGAAGCATTACATACAAGTGAATGTAATAAATTATAAAGGATTCATTGTAAAGATTGTACATGTAACTTTAGAATGAGAACCATTCCACAAACTCCTTCAGAGGGATTACTAGTGCTAAAATATGAGATATAAATAAGAGAAAACAGCTCGTATGAACAAACTTTCCATTGGTTGTGGACCGGTGAAATCTTGAGCACCATCTTGAAACACTGTATATGGCAGGTACTTGCTATGTTCTTTAAATACAGTAAAAATAAAAGTCCCATCACCATAGTGTGACCGACGATACGTCGCCTTTTTGCTGCCTGAAATATGAACCAGCTGTCAATCAGTCACCAGGATTGTGGGGTTTTTATTTGAGCTAGGTGAGTCAGACCTTTAAGGTCTATGCAGCTTGTCACAGTAACCGACCCCAACAGTGTGGGCTCTATAAAAGGCAGACTGGAAGTACAGAACATGCTTTTTTAATGGGATGGGTGAGAAATGCTGTAAATCATCAAAGGAAAATAATGACAATGAGGGGTGATTGGAAAATATGCTTAAAATGACCGGTCATTACAACACTCCATACCATCCTCCATCAGTCCAAGTGAGAATATCAAACATTAACTAACATCTTTCCATCTAACTGCATGTGGTTTACTACTGGGTGTTTTTTTTTTTTTAGAAAGTTCATACAGATATCCTAAGCAGGGACCAGGAGTCTCCTGTTACAGCTGGCAGTGTGTGTGTGTGTGTGTGTGTGTGTGTGTGTGTGTGTTTGCGTGTGTGTCATTTCCTAGTGTCGGGGGCCGCTCGGTCGTAGAAGAGGGGCACCTGATCAGAGGGAGAGAGGAGATGAAACAAAAACACACAGTGAGGTTCAACTGAAGATAATCTGCTGTTCATACTCAGTATTTTGTTTCTATAGTAATGCTGGATTAAAAATGGATTTAAAGAAAGTATCTGCGACTCACCTGGAGAAGAGAGAAGTGGAGGGCGGGAACTCTTTAGAGATGGCGGGGCCCCTCTGTTCCCATGAGGGCCTCTGGGGCCTGTGTGGTATGGAGGAGCATGGTGGAGTAGGGGCCCACGAGGCAAAGTGGGGGCGCCATAGGGGATGTGCGAGGACAGAGGGCCTCGCTGAGATGGGGCCCCTAATGATGGGCCGGAAGGTCGATGCAAGGACAGCAGCGGCGGGGGTTTGGTTTTGGGGTAAGAGCCTAAAAGGAGAGACGCGTCTGAATGAAAAACACAGGACAATGTGACCGGATGAAAGGACCACACTGACATACATGAGGAGGAACAGCTCTCACGATAATGCAGTAAATGACTGCTAACACTGCAACAAACTGAACCACATACGCTTTAACATTTACTGCAAGGCTGTCGTTGGCAAAATACACAAGTCAACAACATCGGACAGGCAAGACGCTCTGCTTGTGAAACGCCGTCAGAGGGATTTGAAGGTGCGTAGATCATGGAGCCAAACACCATAAAGCCCGGTGGAATTTCGGTGTAAAAGTGTCCGTTAAAAACTAGAATTGACTTTCCCACGAATGACAGAACAGTCTGAAAAGTGTAACCTGAGATGGGATACCTTGCAGACAATTCAGGGACACACAGGGAGGACAAAGTTAGATCTTTTAAAATATGGTCGTCCGGTATATAGTTCCTGCACCATTTAACTTTTAAGAACATTTAAATAGTGAAATACGAAGACGACTCTCTCTCTTGGTCTAACCTGGTGAAGGCAAGAGAGGAGAGGGTGAAGGAGCATTGTGGTCCATCATGGACCCCCCTGCTCCGGGTCCAGACTGCAGTTGAGGAGCCCCAGGTGGAGTAGGGAGCAGAGGAGGTGGTTTCCCCAGTCCTGGAGGTAACATGTTACCCCTCTCCCCCTCCGTGTTGGAGACTTGAGAGAAAGAAAAGAAAAATTAAAGAAGCACAATGGACAGGAAGGTAAAGGTGCAGTCAGTAGCACTGACACAGCACCGGTGCTACAGTTTAATCAGTGTGCCACCTTGGAGGTGCTCCTGCCGGGAACGGACGTATTCTGAGATGGTTTCCAGCTCCTCGGAGTAGAGATGGACCCCCTCAGCTAACAGCATGAGGAGCGGACGGGTTTCGGAGGGAACAGTGTGGCGCTCAATCTTTTCTCGATCCAGAAAGTCATCGAGCAGCTGTGACGCCTGCGCTGCGATGTCCGCGGGGTCCCTCGGAGGGCGCTCTTTGACGAGGCCGCGGCTGTACTCGGCTGCAACAAAGTCCATTGCCTGGTCTTTGGGCATGTTGCGATGGACTGGGAGGGAAATGGGAATGTTAATGGTGAGGGGTCAGGGGACTGAAGGGGAAGAAAGAGGTGCCTCAAAACAAAACCCGTAAAATTGGCAGTGAAATAAAGTGAAATCGATTTCAGCAAATTCAGCTGATAAATTGGCACTTTTGATTATGTCCTTTTGAATGTGGGTTGTGGTTTGTTGGAAAATGAGGGGCAACAGGGGACAAGCGATTTGTGTAGAATATGTGCATTTTTCAGTAACTTTATGTTCCTGGACATTAAATAAAGCTTAGGTTTTTTTGTGTGCATTCAGACATGTGATGCCAAAGCACAATAAATTATCTGTTATCTGATTTGTGTATTTAAAAGTCATCAATTCCTTTATTATATTTGCTCTAAGGTTATTAAATTGATTGTATTTTTATTTTGGTCGTGTATGTCAGGCTTAAAATGTGTTAAGAGCATCACTCACACCTATCACTGGGTTTCTTTTTTGTGAGCAACACAGAGTAGCACCATGTTAGAACAATTACATCACTTTGCACAGTTTTGATGTTCTTGATGGTCTGTTTTAAATAATGCATATTTGCAATTTGTATTATGCAGATTTGTTTGTGCAATCAGTTTTTGTGCAGCATCTAAATCACAAAGGTTAATGCTTAAAGGTGTATGTAGACTTAGTAATGTGTATTTTTACATTTTTCAGTATAGATATAGAAATAACTGTAGTAATGAAAGTTCTGCGTGCTTTTTGTTGATTTGTTTTATCAGTTGTATGCAGATCATCGCAGGTATTGACAATCTTTATTTCGCAATATGAACTACACAAATGTTTCAACCTCAAGAAAAACTACTTTATTACAACTTGGGTTATATTTTCATAGCTCTGTCCATCAGTACAGTTGGTTATGATAACATCCTACTGATCACAATAACTGCCAAGGTGTGTGAACGCAGCAACATTGCTAAAACATTTTTATAGTCCCACTGCACAGGAAAACCATGAGTGTGCACTACTAGGGCAAGTACAGATGGTTAAAGTTGAATCGGGAAGTTGTCTTTAAACTGTAATTTTGTGCAAAAGAAGGTTTATAGTTTGCTTTCGTTTTCTCTCCTTTTTCTCTGAACAATGTACAATGTTACCATAACCAGTAACCCTGAAAGAAAAATTGAACCCAAGTTGTGGTAAACCATTGTCTTCCTTTTAAGGAATAATTGTACATTTTTGGGAAATATGCTCGTCTGTCTGCCACCCTCAAGATTGAGATCACTCGTGTCTGTCTGTCAATATGAAGCTACAACGAGCAGCAACCCCAGTGAGGATACGATTAGTCCCATACATGACCATCTAGAGATGGTGGTCCAACATGGTGGTAAAAACATACCTTTGAATATTATATTCCATTTCTGCCAACAGATCATGTTAAATGTTACACATTGGACCTTTAAAAGCTGCTGAAAACTTCATATTTATCAGACAGATACTGGAGTGGTATCGATCTTCTCATCTCATCATCAAGTCTTGGCAAGAAAACAAAATCTGGAGCTATCCCTTTTAATTACATTAATTTTGGGCTTCAGTCACTTTATTAAAGTACGGAAAGTGTGTTCCAGTGGCAGCCAGTGTATGGTCTGGCAACAGAGTGCCATTGATGTACTAAATGAATAATGTGTAGATCTGATGGACGTTGATTGATTTTTTAGAATATATATATATGTTAGCGTAAATCGCATTAGACCGATAGTTGAGAAGGGATGAAGGTTTGTGGTTTGGCTAAGCTTGAAGGAATGAGGGGGACTTACTTTTGAGGGATTCTGAGAATATGATAACAGTGCAGGAGGACAGAGCTACGTTTGTCTGCTCCACCAGAATACATAACGAGGAGCCTTCTGCTCGGACATCCTGCAGGGCCCGGGTCAGGCCCGATTCCGCCTGAAGGTAGAGCATTTCCACTGACAGGCCACGCTCCTGCAAGCACTGGCTTAGCGATTTGGGGTAATCCCTTTGAGAGGAAGAGAAACACTTTGTTAACTTGACATGTCTATATTAAGTGACTCAGCTGGCATTATAGAGGAAACCTAAATTATATATCTCTCAGAGGAACAGAAGCTTATTTCTTGATTTATAGTGTGCTTTACCAACAAGAACGTAACCGTAAGTCATCATTTCTTTTGTGTGGTGAATTCTGTATGTGAGGATCTTTAGACAGGACCAAGTGTAGCATTATGTGTGCAGATAGAGCCTAGATGTATTTAGTGTTGTGGTAGTATGTGTTTAGGTAATACATCAGTAAATTGTGTTAAGGACAAACCAAAACCTTTATGCGGTTTGCATTTTTGAGAGCACTGTTGAATGGTGATATAGTTTGATATAGTGTGGATAAATGTATATGGATATGGGTGGGTTTGGTGGAATTTCAACACATTTCTACGGTAAATGCCATGTTTTCATATTAGTCTCTGTGCATCATGGAGCGAGGGCTTTTTCCCAGATTTATAGTTTGCTCCAACATTCAACAACCATACAAGGGGAAATCTGTTTGAAAAGGCAGAGATACCAATTCTAATTAAAGTAGGAAGTCATGTGACATAAAAGTGAGCAAAGCAGAAAAAAAAAAAACAGGAAAATATGGTTAAATATAGAGCACACGCATCCGCCGATGTCAATTATCTCAAAATGCTAGATAATCAGTCCGATTAATCGGCCTATCTGTAGTTCGTGTTGTACCAACCACAAGAATGTTTGAGTAAAAGAGGTTTATGTTGCAGGAGTGGTTTGACTCCACGGTGAAACTGAGCCACCATTGGAATTTATTGTTAGTACAAAGCATCTTTTAAAGTGTTTACTATCCAAACAGAAACTAATTTGTAACCGTAAGTGGGCTCCAAGCACTACGTCTTTTTTTTTAGGAACAAGAAAACAAAATTAAACATTTACTTAACAGACCTATATTTTTTAATTTACAGGACCTGGGTTTAAAATCCCAGTGAATACGTACAGCTCATTTTCTGACTTAAAAAGGAATAATGAACAGTTAGTTAAGCATGCTATAGCACTGGTAATTTCAACCAACCACCATAATCAGTAGTAGTACTATTAACACTTCCAAGTTAGTCTGCTGTTAGTTAGCTATTCCAACTGTGTGACAATATCATGAATGCAAACACAGCCGCCATCTGGGGCTTCATGTATGAGCATCTTGTGCATGAATTTAATTTTGATGTTGCAGTGTGTAGAGTGTAAATGTGTTATGTTCTATAACTCTGCATTAGGATGCAACAGCATTAACATTACAGAGTAGCGTTTGTATAATCATTTGTTTGTGAGGGCAGATTTAAATGGTGTAATGATCTGCTAAAATGTTGTGAAAAGATGATGCAGAATATTTCTAAATATCATGAAAATAACATTTGATTTGTGTGTGTGTATTGCATGTCACTGGTATGTAACAACAGAAGCCTTTAATGAAATAAAGTAGGAGAGAATGAGTGATCCATGTCGTATTTGATATGTTCTGTACAGTGAATAGAATTGTTATTTAGTGGTATTTAGATCAGTATTCAACAATTTGACTGAGGCATAAAAACCCTATTTTCCTCACGAGTAAGGACATATTTATGCAATCAACATTAATGGAAAAAGTAGGAAAATGGGGTCCTAATTATTCTTTAGTACACTGTGTGCTGGGACATGTTTTATCTTCATATGTACTATATTGATTCAATCCTTGTCATTCAGAGGACGGATATGTTGATTTGTAAAAGTTGTTTATTCAGGTTTAAACGATAGGAAGGTTTTGTTGTGTGTTGTTCATTGTTGTGCATCACAATCAAGGGAGGGCCCCATTGTGTCAGGGAAGACATTGTTATCAACTCAAACTCAAATGTTGTTAAGCTTGTGTTATTATTGTGTTGCAACAGTGACACGATCCTACATTCAAGACAACAAGCACTTACATTGAGCAGGGCTTGAAGTCTCTATCCATCATAAGCACCAGTAAAACCATCCAGACATTCCAGCCAAGTATCAACAGATTGAGAGGGTGTTGCTGACCCCCCGAAAAAATGGACAATTAAAATAACATCCATCAGTCTTGTCTCACTGACTGGCAGCCAAGTATAAACCATCAAACTCTGCATGTAAAAGTCGCCCAGATTTCTGCTCGTGGTTCAGATGGTTGTTTTATGTACTCACAGGCACTGGCTGGTGACGGAGAGGACCACGCAGTCGGCCGCCTTCCTCTCCTCCTGCACCTGCCTGTAGAACTTCTGATACAGGGCTTTACGTCTGTCTGCTGGAGTGCAACCATCTGGCTTGGCTGAGTGGGCTTGAGGATGGTGGAGGAGTTGGGCGAGAATGAAGGGGGAGGTAAAGGGAGAGACAGTGGAGGGAATTTGCAGAGAGAGAAATTAGAGTAGATTGTTGTTGCAATGGCACCATAACATAAGAGGGGATATAAGAGGGAGGGGATACCAGTTTTTGGTGGGCTTTTATAATGAGAAGGTTTCTGAGCACCTCGTTTTAACAAAAGCCAAACACTGACTCGAGCAGTTACTTAAGTTACGTGTCCACAGGATCAGTCATTTCCACGCTTTCCTTTCCTATTGTCTATATTAGCAGCTGTGCAATGCATTCTGGTACAGTCGCAGCATGTTTCCAGAGTCGGGCGTCACGTTGCCTGCTCCTTATTAGCATTAAGTAAAGGTCTACGCCGCTTTATGCACATCAAGGGCATCCGGGAACACAACTCGCTGCTTCTAGAAACTCACAAAAACAATTTAAACAAACCGTTCTGGATAAAAAAAGAAGACAGATTTGGCAACTGCATGGCATATTTCTCACATGAAATGTGTTCAGAAACACGTGTCAGTAACCTATTTCTATAATATAAACGAAAGTTTCCAAACGAGTCGCCATGAAATCTCGGAGCAGAGAGCGTTTGTCCAAACCGGTGCAGCCTGAAATGTTTGTGACGGAGAGTGTGCGCTACCCATCGCGTCAAAAGCGCCCCCTATGGACACGAACCATTACTGTGTACTGTGTGTGCAGTTTAAAGAAAGTCTCACCATTGGGCTGATGCTTGTACCCCTCATACTTCACACTTGGCTTCGCACTGTATGTTTGCATTTGCTCCAGTTCTTCATAACTGAAAGAAAAGTGGTGAAACAGGAGCATCTTTTAATGTGACATTATGATGAGGGAGGCATTTTAAAGCCTACTGTTCACCAGGTCATTATACGTGATGACTTGATATAAAGACTGAAATGAGGCATCAGTTTCTTTCTTTCACAGTGAAGTATTCTTCAAAAAAATCTCAGAAATTAATGCACTGCAGTGTTTTTTTGTTGCATTCTCGTGGCTGATTATTTGGTCAATACACAAAACAATCACCAATACTGCATTTTAGGCAGTATCGGAGGAATTTATGACACTGGTTTTGGTCTAAGACTCTAGGACAGTTGACATTTGTGATAAATGAATAAGTAACTATCCTACATTTAACCTACAATGACAACATAAAACTACATTTTTATTCAGACACATTAACTAACAACAGAGCAAACATTCCAGCATGTTAACCCTCCGCCATCTTACAGCAAAAAACAAAACCAACAACCAAACCTTCCACAAACGACAAACAGAAATACAGATGTACTGACATACTGAAGCACAAGACACATATCTAAACAAAGACAGAAACATCTGGACCCACTGTATTTTTCATCCAGTTCATAAACCAATCGTCTACAATACATATAGAAGAGAGAGAGTCAGAGGAATTTATCTGTCACTTACTTTTCTCCTCCGATCCCATGCTTCAGAAATATAAATACATTATCACAAAGGTATTCTATTAAAGCTTCATTCTCAATACCTTTAAGACTTTTTTAAACAATATTTGTTCTAATTGATGATATAAGGGACAATATTCACAGTTTCTACCTGTTTCAATGTGCAGTATTAATAAAACCAAATCTCAGCTGTGCACGGACTGATCTCTGACTTTTAGGCAAATAACACCCAACATATTTATCACAGGAAAGATTACAATCTTTCTTAAATAAACATCAAGCTTCCCAACCAATCACGTAGTCCTGTGTAGGGTGGTGGGGAGGAGGGGGGTGTATATGTATGAATATAGTACTGTGAAGTCCTTACTGCTCTCAACAAAGTTTAAAAAAAGCACCACATAGTTTAACTTTGCTGTCTTTTAAAGCTGCAGTAGATATCTTCTATAAAAATAACTTTTTACTATGTCCTGACAGAAAAATCTACTGTATTCAAGCCCCCAACCCCAAAAGTTGGACCTCGACTACCTTTCCCTGGTTCTGATTGGTTGTTTTTAGTCCAGGCTCGCTGGTTTCTTGCAAATGGCATTAGGAGCATGTGGAGGAGCCAGAGGAACCGGATTTTTTAAATCACAGAGCATCTGTCTCGAGTACTGCTGTCAGGATAGAGTGAAAGACTCAACTCCCTCCCTGCTCTACCGTCACTCCCACCTCTGCCCACCCTGCCCCCTGCCACAGACTAGGACCCCCCGAACCACTCACACAC